TACAGGAGGCAGCCAATCAATGATTCTCTCTCATCATTGATGTTTCTATCTCTCTCTTCCTCTTGATTCCTCTCTGAAATCAATAAAGAAATAAATATTTTTAAAAAATAATAAAAAGCCTAAGTGTCTGTTACAACCAGTCACTATGACACGTGCTGACCACTAAGGGGCAGACACTCAATGCAAGAGCTGTCCCCCTGGTGTTCAGTGTGCTCCACAGCCAACCTTTTATGGCCGGCCAGCGTCCCCTGGTCCCTCCCCAGGGCCAGCTGCCCCAAAGGGCCCTGATAGCAAGCCAGGCCCAGGTACCCACCTGTGCACGAATTCGTGCACCAGGCCTCTAGTATTTATAGTAGTGTAGTTTAGAAGAAGATTTATACAATTTAAGGTGCATACTCAAAATTTTAAAACCATTTTCATGCATGATTTTAAGAGACTGCAAGGCTGGAGACTGCTATTAATCCTTCAAATATCAGTTTGAGAAAGAATTCACAGAGACTCCACGTGGTAGGCAAACTAATGCCTGCCTCTAAGATGTCTAAGTTCCATTCTCTAAAACCCCTAAATGTGAAGTCTTACACAGCAAAGAGACCTTGTAAGTGTGAAAAGGGTATGGATCTTGAGACAGGGAGATTACCCGGGATTATATGTGTGGACCCAAAGTAATCAGATGAGTTCTCAAAGATGGAGAACTTTTCCTGGCTGCAGAGAGAGATGTGACGATGGGAGGAGGTCAGATAGGTGACATGTGAGAGCCCAGGGGCTATGAGCCAATGAAAGAAGGCAGCCAGAGGCTAGGAAAGGCAAGAGAAAGATTGTCCCCTGAGCCTCCAGAAGGAATACAGCTCAGTCAACAAATGCTTTCATTGACCTAGTGAGACCTCTGACCTACAGAACCATAAGATAAAAAAAATCTGTATACTAAATTTGTGGTAATTTGTTATGGTAACAATAGGAAACTTATATACTCCACCTCCCTAACACATTTGAATACTGGAGTATTAGGACAGACCTGAGTACTACACCAAATAGATTCAAGTATCGATAGTACTCAAACATTTTTGGTCAAAATTTTGGTTTACATCACAAGGGAACAAATAGCAGCAATGTATGGCAAGAGAAGTTGACAAAATATTATTTGCAAAAATTAAAATAGTATTTTCAAAATATTGGAGCAAGCTCTTCTTTGGTCAGGAGGAGGTGAGAATTTCCAGATATGATCTTGCCATTGTCTGAACATTATCTGCAGTGCCACCAAATATCAAAAGAGTTTGGAAAAAGCTGACCTTGGAATAAGTTGCATTTTCCCCAAATCTAATGCTGTTAGAGGGTTTTAAAACTCATTCCTCAATATTTGAACTTCAGAAGGTAAAATTTCTAGGAATGACAGTATTGTGCTGGAAACATTAATGTGCCAGCATGAAATAATATCATTCCGTAGGAGGTAATAAAGGCATGAATTATGTCAAATTGTATTTGGTTCATGGATGTTACTGTGCCTCTTATGGGCAGATAGAGCTAACAGGCACAAGAACACCTGCCTGTCTCCCTCAGAAAATTATGGTCGTGTGCACAAGTATCAGTCTCAGGAATTAGAGGACCGTTTGTGGCAAAATGAAAATGTGCCGTGTTATAGATACACCTCCTAAGGATATGGAATAACTCCTGTTACAGCAGGACGTAATTTTTCTCTTGATCTTGCTTCTAGTAGAAAGCACCATTAAGCCATTTTCACATTACAAGTGGCGGCTTCTACGTCTGCCAGGTAATATAATTTACTAAATGAACTTGCTGCTATGCCATATAGTGCTCCATTATGGATTCTAGCCATTAATTGGTTTGGGGTCATTGGCCATCTCCATTAATGTGGGGAATCTATTCTTCTTTGAAGTAACATGGTCACTAGCATCTCCCATGGAAGTGGGCCGCTCAAACACTACGCATCATCACGCATGTGCCGATATACATGTTTATCGGTTTTTCTGCATTTATTTATTTAGGGAAAGAAAACAGAGTCTTTTCTGTAAAGTTGAAAGAAAGTATGATAAGCGCTACTGTGTACCAAAGTAGTCTAAAAGTCTGAGGGGCACGTGACACTCCATAACTTAATTCCTTGTGACTTAACCCTCTTGTAGCTGAAGCACGAAAGGGGGACAGCGGCCTTCCTCTGCTTTGGCCCTGTCTGCAGAAGCGTGGAGATGGCACCGCAGGCAGGACCATCCCTTCCGCTGCAGCCTGGGTAAATAATGCGCTCAGTTCATCTGCACAGCACAGAGTCATCCTCTCAAAAAAAGTAATTCACTTCTTTAAAAACGGGAAGGAAAATAAATATGGCGCAGTAAAATTGTTGAGCAGAGGAATCTATCTGGACATTTCACAAAACATTTCATTATGCTGACAATTCCCAGAAGTACTCTCAAGAGTGCTTTAAGCTGAGGATTACGGTGCAGGAGCTGATGGACTTTTTTTGCAGCCCCTTTAAAAGGCAGTGAACCGTTTTTCTATTTTATTTAAATAATGCCCCTTAAAATGGATTTTTAGAGGTATAATAACTCCTTAAGAGTCAGTTATGCTAAACAGTTTCTCTTGATAGAAATGTTGTAAAACTCGTTAACTGCACAATTTCAGATGCTGGCTTCGTGAACACTAACTGACATGTGAATGACCAGAGTTTGTAAAATAAATTGCAATCGTTGTTGTATCACGCAGCTAGCATTGCATGCGCTGGAGGCCACGAGGGGCTCCAACCTGACAGAAAATTACTTCAAGATGAATGAAAAGTGCTTGTTTCTCTTTATTAGTTTTCAGAGAACAATGAAAACGTTGAATTGTTTACAGAGGGCTGATTAAATGTGGTCAGAGGGGCCATGTCCCCACTGCTAACTGTTGGCCTCCCTCCTCCTCCCGCTGGCCCTCAACCTGCACACCCACAGGCCACGCGATCCCAGCTCCCAGCCCCCATCCTCCGAGCCCTGCCACATGCATCTTCTTACAGGCCATTACAGCTGCACATCTGTGTGTGAAATGTGCTCGTTCTGACATTCCACGGCTGCCTGGCGCTGCGAGGCCTTTGTTAGGTAACGCACTGCTGTCAAGCCCAACATGCGGGTCATGCGATGGGCCGGACACTGCGGCAGGGATGGATCGCTTCGGCCTCAAACAATGCTCGGTTCCGCAGTGGAATACGTGTCTATTTCTTTCATTGGGCAGCACTCCGGAAAGTCATGACTTTGTGTTTGTGAAGCTTTGATTTAAATAGATATGTACGTGTTGCTGGGGTTAGACTGCCACAAAAGAGCCTGTTCGTTGTATTTACTTAGAACCGCTACTGTCTTACAGCTACAGGGAAAAGCATCAAGTGCTTTCATCGGTCATTTGTGGTCTCAGTCCCACTTATGCTTTACCAGAACGCACCGCGAGGGAGAGGAAAGGCACTTGCTACCATTTTCGCTGACGGCTTGATTTACTTAAAGGGGTGGTCACAACCAGGGCATTTAGCAGGATGTTGCGGAGGACGATTCTCACTTTATATTTCCGCAAAGTAAACAGCCCTTGATGGAAAGAAATATGAGAACTCATTAATAAGCATATGCCAAGCAGCACAAAAACAGTCTTTTTACCAGACCAGGCTAAGTGAATCAGATCCAGAAGATATTTTGGCAAACTGAAGCACTAAGGAAAAGCAAACCACTGCCCTTTCAGCACAACGTGCCGCTTCCCATGGCCCAGCCCCTTCCTCACTGCCAGCCTCTCCCTTACACATACACACACACACACACACACGCACGCACACACGCACACACGCACGCACACACACATGCCCGCACATCAGGACATCAGCAGTAATCGGGAGCAGCTCAAATGCTATTTGTGGCATGCTCACACAATACAGACCACACACCCCTAATGTGCTCGCAGGATTCTCTTCGTCTCTATGCAGAACATGCGTTCTGAGCCTATTATGTGTATAAACAATGGCATATGTAATTACCTTTCCAGGGTAGCAATTATTCCTCAGAATCAACAACCAGATTTAAAGCATGTTCCCCCAAAAGACATTCGGGGATCAATTCTGGGTCAATTACATCAGGCTTTGATTTATCACATGGTGTCAGGCCATGTTAAAAAAAGAAAGTTAAAAAAAAATCAAACAGAAACACTCTGAGGTAAAGGCTAAAGGTTTGACTCAAACTGGTTTGTTCCAACATTGCTTTCCCTCAATTGCTCTGCTTTCCACCATCCTTAAAACAATTGTGATTGGCTGGGTTTTATCTGTTAGACAGTTTGCTGTTGGGAAAACTAAATGCAGTGAATCTGGACTACATCCAGATGTGAGTGCCCCCACCCCACCACCTGGCACTGGAAATTTCTTCAGGGATGCAGCAGAGAGCTGGGGTTAATAATTCAGGCTTTGGGATCTAAGAGATCTGGATTTACATCCCCATGATTTAAGCAAGATACATATCCCTGCAGTGGGTAATACTTCAGGGGGTTGTTGTGAGGTTTAAGTGAGATAATTAATGAAAGGATATGAGTGAAGCACTTAGCGCAGTGCCTGGAGCATCAGGGGTGCCCTGTGAATTGAGTGATTGCCCTTCCATTGATGAACAAGTCAGCGAGAGGTGGGACAGCCCTCAGGACCTGCCCCGGTGTGGACTGGGACAGGGAAGCAGAGGGGCTGTTGGTACAAGTCATAGAGCTGAGCTCCTGAATCCAAAACTGCAGTTTAGAGGTCCAACGTAGAAGACTAAACTATATATAAAGTATCCAATTATAAACTGCAAACCAATAGCAAGCTTATTACTCTGTTAGCAAGACTGCTCTCTTTTACAGAGCCTTATGAACCATAGATTTAAAAAGGCTATTATACTTTACACACCTTGGTTACCAAGTGTTAATTGAACCCATACCTACTATGCACCAGGCACTGTGCTAGGCACCTGGAATACAGAGATGCTGCCTCTAACAAAACTCCCAGAATAAAAAATAAATACCTACAATTTAGTACAAAACAAGTTCATAGCTCAGATTTATTGAAAGCTACTTCATGCAAACTGAAAGTGCCATAACAAACACACAATATCACCAGGGTTTGGGAGCTGGGTGATACAAATATATCCTATTAAAGGTGAATCATATAACTGAAGTCAAATTAGAATAATTCTTTCCTGAGAAGTAAAAGAAAGGTTTTCAGAAATTAAATAAAAAGGAATAATATGAGAATTATCATCAAATTCTCTAGGGAAAAATATAATACCCCACTCAAAGAACACTTGAAATCACTTTTATATGGAGTGACATTATTTATTTAATTAGAGAAAAACAGCATTTACACAATTCATTTCTCAGACGACACACACTATTGGCAGTACGTATCGGCAGCTTAATTAAGAAGTCTGTTGATAATGTTAAAACGCTGGCACATTTTCAATTTAGATGGACACTCTCAAGACGAAGACATGTCGATTGGTGGCTCATACACAACAAAATGTGTCACAGACACTACATAAAATGTCTAGTGTCTACAATCATATTTGTGTTTTAACACTGGAAAAATCATGACTTACAGAGCAGAAGTAATTTTTTGGAAAAACTATATAGTCACTCAACTTATAGAACATAGAAGACAACACCATGAATACTGAAATAGCCAAATTTTCACACACAGCCATTTTCCAGGTCTGTTTGGCTCCTGTCATGCCCTGTCTTGGATCCATGAGTAAGGAACCCAAGCTTGATCCAAACCTTCCCCTCCTCCATGCTAATAATTCACTCAGTACTGCAGGCCCCTAGCCATTCAAGGTAGAGGCCTATTGAAACAACAGATGTGATTCACTCACCCACTCCCCACCAAATGTACAAACACAATCTAGTTTTCCAACAGACACTCTATACCTAAATGAAAAAAATGAATTTAATTCAAATTAACACCAACTATAGTGTGTTGATTTCTCTAAAGTCTACAGAACATTTTTGGAATCAACAAAAAAGGATCCTACCTATCAGAAGTCCAAAAAGAAATGGAATTAAGATGTCCTGAATTGTTCACATTACAAGTTTTATTTTTTATTTAAAAAACTTAAATTACTTATAGAAATACACTCTTCCATTTGTTTCCCGTCTTAGAGGCACACTTATTAAGAACAGAAGACACATATAAAAATATTCATTGAAACTAATTGTAAATCTATGGAAGGCAGGGACCACACCTTTGTCTCCTTCCCCCGCTCCGTATAGTGATTCACATGTAGTAATTATTCAATTAAGTTGAAAAGCCAGAGCATGTTTCAATTCAGGTTCATTTGGAAGGGTTGCACTGATTTAAGGAGCAACTGAGATGAAATGGATAGGTTCAACCTTTCCTGATTCCTGGCTGGTGAGGTGCACACTCTCTTGAGAACTTCCTTTGCTGGAGATTGCTTGCATAGCCCCCGCATGATTCGCTGCTGGCTGCGGTGGCATTCTTAGGGTCTTGACTTGTTTCTGTTTTTGTTGAAGGGAGCGTGTTGATTCTCCAATGGCTGTTTTTCTAGAAAATGTGAAAGGTGGTGTGAAGCAGGCACTCAGGGAAGCAGGTGTTCCGCCTATTCTTGTCCCATTGATAGTACAACTGTGAACAAAACGCAAACACATTGTTAATCCAAGCCTTTCTAAAACACCTTCTCACAACTACAACGACTGGTCTTTGGCTGACCACTAAATTTACTTAGCTCGCCAGTTCAAAACACAACAAAACTACAGGCTCTCTTATGGTAAATGAAAGTTTGAACAGGATTAAACTTCAATGCTGTTTAACGTTTTCTTTCCTTACCTTAAATAATGACTTTCGAATCCATGCCACCTCCAGGTGTAGATCCACGTGTCACAGAATCAGAAACACCACATGTCTGTGCATTTCGAAAGCAAGGTTTCCCTACCCAAGCAGATTCTGTCTTGTCTTCCTTGCCTTGATAAACAGGAATAAAATCCCTCCCGAGGTGCCAAGACCTACACCTTCGTGAATCAAGTCCATGCCTGGGGCCCATCATTTAGCACCCAGTGGATGGCTGGGAAGCAGCAGCTGCAGATGGAGAAGCCTGTGAGGAAGCAATCTGGCCGGGCAGGAGCATGCTTTCCTCAGCAAAGGCTCTGAGCGAACCAGGTGGGTAAAAGGCATGTACCAGCACTGCCAACACCAATCCCAGTCAGGGTAAAGCCCCTGCCACATGAGAGCAGCATGCTAGGACCCAGGGAGGTTCCACCTTAGGCATATCCGTGTGCCTATCCTTGTACAGGTATATTAATAACAGTGTTATAGACCAGGGATGACAGACACCTTTGCAAGAAACATTTCTCTTTATTCACATCTCTGAAATGTTCCAAGCAGACCCACGGCAGTGAGCGGTAAAGCCAGCAAACACACAGGTAAGCTTAGCCTTAACACGATTTATTTACTAATTTACTTTATTTATTTGGGTTTTTAAAAATAGGCCAAAAACCTTTGCATATGTGTTTACAATGCCCGTTAGCAATGCCCTTCAGCTCATGAGCAAAATGCCATACTACATGAACATTTAAAATCCACCTGGAATCATTTTAGGTTCCATCCATTATATCAAACTTGTCACTAAAGCCTATTACTTCTTAATTTGAAATATTTTTTGCAGTCTCCTTTTCTTCTAATTTCTACTAAGTCCCCCCCTCCCCCACCCACCACCCCTGCCCTATTTGTCAAACCCTGTTCTGTTCACCCTGAATGTGGCAGCCTCCTCACTATTCCTAGGTCTCCTCAGCTATAGTAGCAACTCCTTCCAAGTGATGCTGTTTCCACTGGGCCTCCTCTTCCAACATTCATTCCAGGACCCTCTGAGCTCCTGTCCTGCCCTATAGAAGTCTCCACTTAAGAGGCTCAGAGTAGCTGTGACCTCAGCCCACCCTCACCAGGCAGGCAACGGAGAAACAACCTCAGCCTGCCAGAGAGCATGACTGGAATTCCTTTTGTACTAAAATACACTGAATTTGCTCCTCACTCCTTCATTATTCTTTCTCCCTCTATTTCCCTACTAACTCCAACATATTGGCCCAATCTTCAGAATATTGTAGTGTTAGAACCCCAGATTCGGTTCCAGGACTCCTGCTGCCGGCTGGGATCCAGCTGGGATCAGAATCCCCAGGGCGTGACACCACCATTCCTGACTCTGAACCTCACCTGTATCTACAGTCTAGTTGCCCACACCTCCTGAATTGGTCTCCTCAGAACCAACACTTTCCCTGAACCACTCTCAAGGTCATCACATCCTCCTGGTCCGTGGTCAGCAAACTGTGGCTCGTGAGCCACATGCGGCTCTTTGGCCCCTTGAGTGTGGCTCTTCCACAAATACTACGGCCTGGGCAAGTCTATTTTGAAGAAGTGGCATTAGAAAAAGTTTAAGTTTAAAACATTTGGCTCTCAAAAGAAACTTCAATCGTTGTACTGTTGATATTTGGCTCTGTTGACTAATGAGTTTGCCGACCACTACTCTTGGTCACTGAGGACTGGATTGCTGGCCAACCTTAGTGTAGCCAGGCTCTCAACCCATGATACACTTAGTCCTGACTTCCTCCTGCCTCCTGCCAACCTATAATGCTGAGATACTCTTCCTAGCCCAGACAAATTTTATCACTATCATGTTTTTGAAGTATTCCACTTCATTTCCTAGTCTCCAACATGAAATCTCCACTGAAGGCACAGAGGTCTACTAACCTCTCAGCTCATTCCGAATCTTTGTTCATCCCCTTTCTTCTACCTTCTTAATTATCTCTGCCTTCTTAATCACCTCATTTGTGACATTATCTAAGAAGCATTCTCCAATAAACAAATCTGCATTGACTTATCTCTTATCTGGATTCCTCTGGAGTAATCACTATCACACAGTTTAAGCACTTGGTTTTCACTAAATGTTTTCAGAGACATTAGCTCTGCAGACAGACTGCTAGTTCTCTGAGGACTTGGAGAAAAGTCATGTCCAAGTCCTATTAACCTACACTGAGAGAGCAAAGTTCCACTTCCATCTTCTCTCTGCCCTTACTCCACTCACCAACCCACCGCATGGAAGCGGCTGAATCAAGTTACTGAACAAAAAACGAAACTATTGTTTAAAGGGATATAGGTTTTGGTATAATGAGAGAAAAGGTTCAAGTTTTGGCTTCTGCAGGATGTGGTCTGCTTGGAGTTTGTCTCTTGAGATTTTCCCTTTGGATTGCTTCTCTGTACTTCTATGTCACCAAAGAGGCAATCAGGTCTGGAACTGCTTTCCACTTGGGAAATGTTCCCTAATACCAACCCCCACCCTGATAAAGCCTAGGGTAGACTAGCTAGACTAGCTCTAACTTAAAACTTTATCTTTTGTTTTTGCTTTTCTCCTACTTCATGTAGCAAAATAGGATCTAAAGAGGTGGACCCAGGAGAAAGGAACAAAGAAGGCCTATCGGTGCAAAACACAGTATTTCCAAGCAGCTCTACATAGCTAGCTGCACTTATCAGTGACTACATTAGGTTTGGGGTGGGGGTTGGGAAGGGCAGTCCCTAGTTAACAAACAGGAATATATGTGTATGTACTTGAGGTCTATCCTGTACTTATCTCCTCCAGGAACCTGTAGCCCCAGGTTCTGTGGGTCTATCTCAACGTAACTGCTATCTGATTATATTCTCAATAAATACATGTGAATTAATTTTTCTATAGTAAATGCCTAAGCATTATTTAGGATAGACCAAGAATTGTAGGAGACTTTGAAGTTCTGGATCAGGGTTATTTATGATTTATGTATTTAATACGTGCTTCAATAAAACCTTAGAGTAATTTTATATCTTTTTCAGAGTGAGAATGTAAGCAAGACTACTCCTGGGGCTTTTATAAGCCTTCCTGCCAAAGATGAAAGCCAGTGGGCTTCCTCTGTTGTGAAATTCTGAATTAGCACTTGCAGATGGCCAGAGACCACTGTAGAATCGTGTAATAACCATTAAAGCACATGTATTTTTAATATTTAAATATATTATACGCACACTATATACATATGCACATAACCTTGATGTACTACTTGAAAAGAAATAAAATGCTGAATGTAGGTTATCCCAAAGTCATAAGATCATCTGTCACTTGTCCAAGCCTGGGGCCAAAGTTTCACTTTGAAAAAATGCTCTTAATTAGCATGCGATACAGACACTGGCAATTCTCCCTATTGCCCCTTCTTCTTTATTAATAGAACCTCTGGATTTTGAGAAGTACATGGCCACAAAGAGTATATTTCCAGGCCTTCCTGGCAGCTGGTATGGCAGGCAGGATGTGAGTAGAAATTAGAAGTCCAACATCTAGGGAATGCCTTTAAAGAGAATACTTCTGTCCTGACTGGTGTGGCTCAGTTGGTTGAGCGTAATCCTGTGCACCAAAAGGTCACTGGTTTGATTCCCAGTTAAGGCACATGCCTGAGTTGTGGGCTCCATCCTCAGTAGGGGGCATACAGGAGGCAGCTGATTAATGTTTCTCACATCAATTTCTCTCTCTTTCTCTCTCTCTCTCTCTCTCTCTCTCTCTCTCTCTCTCTCTCTCTCTCCCTCCCTCCCTCCCTCCCTCCCTCCCTCCCTCCCTTTTCCTGCCCTTCCTCTTCCTCAAAAATCAATTTTTAAAAATATATATTAAAGAGAATTCTTATATATCTCAGACATATGAGTGAGGCAAACAGAGGAATAGCAGAGGGTAATAAGATGGAAGTTTCTTTCTCCCTTACCCAACAGTCTAAGCATAAGCAGTCGGAGATGATATACAACTCTACATTGTCAGGGAGCTCTCTCTTGTTTCAACCACTGTGTTTTAGTCTCTTAACCTGGATGTAGGTTAGGCTACTGTAACAAATATTGCACTATAATTCTAGCTCTTACCTATTCCAACATTGGACAAATTATTTAAACTCTATGAACTCATTTCCTTTTTTATACCTACTTAATAGGTTGTTGTTAGCAAATAAGACTGTCTTTTTTTCTTTTGCTTCCCATTATATCCCCAGCTTCTAGCCTGTTGCATATAATAAAAATTAGTTATTCTTGCTATTTCTGTTGATATGCTGACCTAGAAAAAATAATGTCACTTTAACAATTAACTATTAAGTACTTAAAAAATACATATTGAAATAATACAACTAATCAATATGTTGTGCATTAGAGTGGTGATATTTTTCTGACCCAAATCTTAGAAAACATGGTCTAACAAAAGGTTTTGTCTGACTTGTGAATATACTTATATGAAAATTCTTATATAAGTATTTAAAGAACTAATTTTACGTCTAAAAACAATCTGCTTAAATCGAGCAGCCCTGAAAAGTCAAAGGCACACAACCCCAACATAATTGGTTCTGCTCCCTCTAGTTTTTATCACAGGGTTTCATTGTGCATGCATATTATGAAAAAAAAACCTGATTTTATGACATATTTATGGTTGTGAATTTGTATTATCATAGCTCATAATCTCATGAAAAATAATTCTTATGTCTTTCCAAAGGAAGATGAGCACGTCTTGCTTCTACAAAAATAACAGGAGTGAGTTTTCAGTAAAACACATTTCTCCTATTGAAGAGTACTTAATAAACACATACACACAC